TCTCAATATGGTATATATTTTCCTCCTTTTCTGCTCCCCCCCCCATACCTTTCATAAAGAAAACCCATCCACACACCCCCACACACACATTTGTACTGCAACAACAATATCGAACCCAAACACAAAGCTCATGCTTTTTTCTCCCTTTTTCTGGTGGTTGCTTTCTCTTTTTTTGTACTGATAAGTCTAGTTCTCCTGCTTGTCATATTATTGTATCTGTTTTGTCATGCTGCTTTTTTGTAATTCATACTGAAAAATTGCCAAAAAGTATCAAGCTACATTTTCCTAGATACTTCTTCATTTTGGTCACTCCTTTCAATCTGTCTGTAGTGATTGTTCGGTCAGTGGGTTGGCAATTGCACACAAGTCTTCTGAAATTGCCTTGCTAAATGTGTTTTTTCTAACATTTTATACCCAGTCTTGCTCCAAGGCTGCTCTTGTTGCTCCTGCTCAGAGCTTTTTCTTTAAATCAGCATGGCAACCACTTTAAGAATACCTAATTACCAGGAAGCCCATTTTCAGGGCCAACAGTAACCCTGTGTATAAGATATTTGGTGGGCTTGACCTTTAAACATTTTATTGATATGGGGATCTTTAGGTTGACCATGTACCATAGTGCATATATCAATATAGGGATTCACCTGAGCCGACATTTAATAAGCCATCCATGTCCCTGATTGCACTGGCATGCAAAAACCGGACTTTTAAAGTCTCTTTGCTCATTTAACAGCTCACTTGGCTTCAGGGACGTGCACAGATATTTGGAGGGGCTATTGCTCTAAACTGGAAAAAGGGCCTCTCCCCAAAAAAAAACATACGACCTTTTGAAAATTGTAACTTGTTTTTAATGTAAAAGAAACCTAACGATTATTACATCAACTAAATTGAACAGTAATTCACATCTCATAACAAAATAAGCTAAGGCGACTACTTGCATTCGGTGACTTGATTTAAAAAATGAAAACCAGGGACATTTTTTGTTTTGCGGTCCATATCTCATTAAAATATCTAATGTTAGTAACTATTAAAGACAAAATGGGGACAATTCTGTTCTAATGTAGTTTGACCATTGTAACTGCTGTGCAGTCCAGACATAGCCTACTGATAAAATAGGGCCTCTAACTAATTACCTTAAAGTGGACCTATCATGCTATATTTGAATAATATATTGTAGGGCCATATATAAGGTATATTTATACGTTTTCTTTTTCAAAATACCAAACAGATCATGCATTTTAGCCATGCCTCATTTCGCTCTATTTTGCTTTCCTCCACCCTGTCTTTGCATGCGCTGCAGCTGACCACGCCCCCCTGCAAAGGAGGGGGCCGAGTTACGAGCGTCGTGTTACCATGCTGTTACCATGCCACGGCAACCTCTCATTCCCCTGATAGGTCAGCTCCGCCGTCCTGACGTCAGAGGAATGTTCAAACCTGGATCAGTCCAACACACTCTCACTCCATAAACGTCCAGGAGCGACGCTTGGTCAGGGTCCCGAGGCGTGCAGTTGGGACGCTCCTAGGCTACTTCAGCTTCATAAAGGGACGCAAATAGCTTTCAACTGATTGCAATGTATTCCCATCTGCGGCGGGATTTGACGCTCATGGAAGCACGGCATTCGTTTGTGTCGGCTGCCCTTAAAGGCAATGTGAGCGTCCATTCCCATTGGATAATGGAGAATTGTACACCCGGAAGTAAGTATTCCCCTTACTGTCGATTGATTTGACAGTGATATCTGCACTACTCATCAACTAAAAAACACCAGATTATCCTTGTTAATTACACAACATTGATTGGTTTAAATTGTGTGCAATGCTTTTGTATTTTTCCCCTTCGATTCGGAGAAACAAATATTTTTTCGGAGTTTAGGATGGCAGAAGACACTACACTACCCAGAATCCCCAGCTATCGTTTAGGACTACACCATGTGCTCTGTTTGACAAACCCTGTGATCATCCCACAGGCCAGAAGACTATTAAACACCTGAACCTTGAAACAACATCCATAACATTCATCTGGCTGCTACTTAGAAATTATTTGTCTAATATATCATATTCCAATCACTTGTATATAGACTCTTATTGCACTATTTCAGTTTTTACTATTTTGCTATTTTTCTTTTTGTATTTACTTGCACTATTTTTTCTGTGTATCTGTTTTATTGTATTGCACTGTTGGAGGAGCCTGTGACCTAAGGGGGGGGGGGGGGGGGTAGGACACGTTCGAGTCTTGATTTGGATAGTGTGCCGTCGATGGGTTTCATTCCATTTCAAAGTGCTGTTTGACGCGTGTAAACTTCGCCACTCCAACATCCAATCACAGAGCTTGAGAACTAATCACGGGGTTTGTCAAACAGAGCACATGGTGTAGTCTTAAACGATAGCTGGGGATTCTGGGTAGTGTAGTGTCTTCTGCCATCCTAAACTCCGAAAAAATATTTAAACCAATCAATGTTGTGTAATTAACAAGGATAATCTGGTATTTTTGAGTTGATGAGTAGTGCAGATATCACTGTCAAATCAATCGACAGTAAGGGGAATACTTACTTCCGGGTGTACAATTCTCCGTTATCCAATGGGAATGGACGCTCACATTGCCTTTAAGGGCAGCCGACACAAACGAATGCCGTGCTTCCATGAGCGTCAAATCCCGCCGCAGATGGGAATACATTGCAATCAGTTGAAAGCTATTTGCGTCCCTTTATGAAGCTGAAGGAGCCTAGGAGCTTCCCAACTGCACGCCTCGGGAACCTGACCAAGCGTCGCTCCTTGACGTTTATGGAGTGAGAGTGTGTTGATCAGTCTGTATCAGATCCGTTGCAGCCCCGTTTTTAGAGATTTGGGTATGGAGGAAAAGAGAGAGGGTTGTGTTTTCTGACACTTGGTGAGTTCCCTGGAACACCGGGGACACATATTCATGTATAAAAGACGTACAAAAGTGCATTTTGCATGATAGGTCCCCTTTAAATAAACTCACTAATTAATGAAACCAGTTCAATACGCATTATTCTTATTCTTATCATTCTTTATGAGCGCAGTAACGGTAAGGTATCTAATTACTTATTTATTTAGTATTCCATAACTTAATAACAGAGATGGTCAAACTAAAGTCGTATGACATGGCAGAAATCCTACAAAGAAGCGGGACATTGAACTGTTCACCCGTGAGAGGGCGATCAAGAAAAGAGAGCGAGCACAATAACAACAAGTAGGCTATATTTAGGTGTTTTTTTGTAAATAACCGACGGTATCAAGAGGAAGTAAAGTCCCCTGGTTTGTCCCTTATACTCTAACTGCCATGAGACAACTCAAAATCAAGTTTCCAAAATCCGACACTGAGGTGTTCTTAACGCACCGGCAGATGACAGCGCTGACAAAGTGTGTTTCCCGCAGCGAGACGCTACAATACTAATTGTGGGCTTATCATGTTGATTCGGCCACAACAGAAAAAAGAAAAACAAACTCTCGCTCTCTCCAGAGGGGCAGGTCAGCCAAAAAGGCCAAACGGGCCGTTGCCCGGGCAACATTAGCCCGTACCTGCTTGGCTTACATTTACATTGGGATTAACTCATGTTTGAACATGAAATTTGAACATGTATGACCTTTTTAAGATGGAAGCTCTTTTCATAATACACAAGTTTTTAGCCCTTGGAATATCTGTATTGCACCAGCAGCTCTTGTAACACAAACCTCATACCAAAAAATCATTTAAAAAATAACTCCAATAGTACTATTTGTACATTATTTATATATTTTTCATTTCTTGACGTTTCCTTTTTTTTTTTACAGAGTTGGTACATTTTCATACTACAGTGAAATGTTCCTTTTTACAAATACAGAATGGCAGCTCTTGACACATGGTAGTCAAATCTACTTTTTTTAAGTCCTTTGAAATACACACATGTACAGCATATGTCACATATACATGGACAGAGTTCCGAGTATGACCTTGTGTTGTTTTGTCTCGAGTGTTTGGGCATTTGCTTCTGTAGCGCTCTGGTCCCACATGCTTCTCCTTTGGTCGTTTAAGGCAAAGAGGAAATACAATGGGGTGCATAGACGTCTTCACATGACTCCAACACAAGGGCAAACACTCGTCCTCGCTTTCATCGTGACCTTCATCATCTTTTTGTCTTGGATTCTGGCAATAACCGTGCAGCGCTGCACGTATGAGGCAGAGTATGCACTTATGACGCAGGACAACAAGGCAGAGAACATAGGGAAAGATGTGGCTGAAAAATATGGGAAATTGTGAATAATCCTTTTTTTTTGGCCCAAAATCAGACTTTTATTTCCTATATGTGAACCAAAGTAGAGGTTTATCAATGATGTGGTGTTGTTCCTCTATTTCTCTTTGTTGTGTGCGTTTTTGAGTCAGTACATTTCTTGGGAGAATGCTCCAACCAGGCAACAGTTTCATTATAAAGAGCAGAATGACAAAATAAAATAATACTATAAACATAACAGATCATAATGAATATAAAGTGATATGAGGGGTAAGTTTTGAATGTTTCAGATATTAACTATAGTGTTCTTACGGAAGATGATGAGGGCCAATTTCTTTTTGAGATCTGACCAGATCAGGAGTTCTGAGAAAAAAATAATTATATATTTCTATATGAAAATCTCATAATTCGGATTTTTTTCCTCAAATTCTGAGATTTTCAGATAAAAATCGATAGCTATTTTGGCCCTAATCCTCTTCCGTATGTTCTCCATTTCTGACTCACAGATCTGGGAGGATGTTAGTGAAACCTCAAAAAATTGTCTGTAAGCTAGAGCAGCACATTGTCACTGTTTGTATCAAATAAAACATCTCTGATAAATATGTACACACACAAACATACATAATCAAATGCGGGTCATTATTTAAGTTATGTAAAAAAGAAAAATCGTCTTTTTTTTTCGCCCCGGGGTCGTCTTGCATTCACCCGCCCTGGGCCGCAGTCCTTCTCGAAGCATGTGAACTTAAAGTCACCATGTCTTATATTGTCTTATGCTTTCTATACATTAGTCTCCAGCCCGTTCATGTCCACGGAGCAGTGGTCCCTGTGCTCTCTCTTGTGGTGCGACGGGTGGGCGTGTTTCTTCTTCTCCAGCGGCCGGAAGCCCTCCTCCAGCTGCATGAGGCGAGCCACCTCTTGGTGGTAGTGTTCTTGCCTGCTGCCCGGGGGAGGGGGCTGGAAGCATCCGTTCTTCTGGTTCTGGTAGGTCATCATCTGCTGGATGCTTATCATGGGTTTAGTCTCACAGATCAGAGGCACCTGGAGAACGCAATGATGGAATCACGTATTTATCAGCAAATATATATATTTAATACAAAATGCTTACATCCATAGCTCCATAGGGATGTTTTGTGTCCCTTAGATCATCAAGTATATAGCACGAATACATTCTTTATCAGTTTATGGTGCCTTCAGTAATTATGGTACTACTCACTGGAATTCCCTTCCACATGAACTAACATTTGCTTTAACCTGTTAACTCCTGAGTCTGTTTTTCAGTTCTCAGGCTCGAAAATGACATTCCCAGAACAAATGACTACAACTTCACTTCTAAAAGGGGTAAATTAATAATCTTTTGGTAACACTTTATATTAAGGTACACAAATTAACCATCAACTAGTTGTTAATTAACATGCATATTAGCAGTATATTGGCTCTTTATTAGTCATTATCAGCGACGTGCAGTCAGGGGAGGCAGAGCCTCACCTGTCATACTCCAATGTAACGGAAAATAACTAAAGAAAAACTAAATAGTAATAATAATAAAATGTCTCCACTGATCTGTGTTGTAAGTGTGATTTATGTATGATTCCAATCGCTTTTTATAGTCAAAATCAGCAAATTTGCCGAGCTCCGTTACAACTACGGGGAGCGATGAGAAGTGAGGCAGGGACGAGCGTGGGCACTAATTTAGCGCAGGCACTTATTTTGTGAGCGCGCTCAAGCCAGTTACTGTGGGGCTGAGGTGAGGCACAGATGAGCTCTGCCTCACCTCAGAATGCGTCACCCCACAGAAACTGGCTGGAAAGCGGGCCCTAACCATCTCACTGTATGTCACCAATGTAATGTTTGTAGATCCCTTTATTACATGTGTCCTCGCCATCCATAGTCTCTAAATAACTTATTTCACGTATATATGATATTTAGGCTCGCTGGTCTCATCGTACAACAGCAATGAAAAAAGCACCAGGGGAGGCAGCCATAACCTCTGCCGCACTGAAGGGGGCGCACGTGAGCCCACAGGTTCTTGTTGCTACTGTAATTCTACGCAGAGACGGTAGACAACAAACTAGACTTTTGAAACTACAGGAAGATAAGGAGGACTTTTACAAAAAAGTAATAGAGATTGTTGTCCAGAAGGATAGCATGGACTTCATCTTCAAGTCAAGGTAAGACCACAACTGTAATGAAAATGGGATCTTACTAAGAAAGAACAATCCAATATTTTGATTTTGGGTATCCTTTTGTTGAACGGTCTGTTTAAAATGAATCGAAGCATCAGACTAAAAAAGCTTATGAAAATATTTCGATTAAGGTCAAAATATAATATTTGTAAATCTGACTCTGAAAGAGTCAGTGCCTCACCAGCCATGAACCTCACCGCACGTCACTGGTCATTATAAAACACGTATTAATGCCTTATTCTACATGACCATATTCTACAAGTAATAAGCCATTAGTTGAGAGTTTTTCCTCAATAGCCCTCTAATTAGTGCTTATTTATTGCAAGTAAGGAAGTTGTTGTACATGAGTTTTGGTCTTAATATGCTCTGCTCAATATGGGCCTAATAAGGCAGTAGTCCCACAAGAATAGTAATTCTCCCATAATAACACTTAACAAATATGATCTATTCTTATGTAACAAGACATGAAACTATAAGTGTTAATTGTGTCTAAATAATTCAAAATTAGGTATTTATATCTAAGACATTTGGGGTATTGACAGTTCAGCTACCAATAGCAAGGTGATATTGACCTGTATGTTTCATATTTGCACATTTATATATTTGTAAAATTTGTACTGAAGGTTAGACAGGAAACTGGGTACAGGAAGTAGGAGAAAGTGAACTGAATAGCATGGCAGTAGACATCCATGAGTAGACTGCTACTAATTTTCCCTATGCAACCTGAAGAGTAAAAGGGTCAAGTCCGTCAGAAAGCAATGACTGTAAGTGTAAGTGTACGCCTTACACTTACACTGTAAGGATTAGTGACATGTATTGTGTTTATGTGATGACATTTGGAGATGTTAAAACACAATGAGAAAATGCGTTAGCATTCGTGCTAGCGTTAGCATACATGCTAGCGTTAGCTATTAGCTATATTTACCTTGTTTACACTTAGTGGTCCTTAAAGGTAGGATAGGTAAGTTTGAGAAACCGGCTCGAGATCGCTAGAATTTGAAAATACACAACCGGAGAAAATCTGCCACTTCCTTACAGAGCCCCTCCTCCAACACACACGAACGCGCACATGACCAATGAGGGCACGAGATAAGTCTGTGCACAGATGGAAGGCTGACAGGCAGGTAGGCCATCCAGTTATTTTAGCCGGGCCGGCTAAAATGATTGGTCGTGCTTTTTACAGTATTACGGCTTCCACAGATTACATTTTTTTATGGATTTGTTGTCAAAGCACTTAAGATATTCATTGCTATCGGGATGTTAAGAGCATTCCATGGAATATAACAAAAAGTGTATCTCGAGCCGGTTTCTCAAACTTACCTACCCCACCTTTAATCTGTGTATGTTACACTTGCATGTATGAGATCATTAAGTGCCTTGTAACTTCTTTTTTTACAGTTTCACTCCGTTTGAATGTCAGTGGACTGCAAATAAGTCAATAAAGGAGCATGGCTGCTCATTCCCTGGCTCTCAAAAGAGTTTGGCTGGCTGTTTAATCTATGTTCACACTGAGACAGTACAACACATAGAGAGAACAGTGCACCTATTGTGTAAGTACATACAAGCAGGTCACACAGTATGATCACAAATACATCAACTCTGTTAAAAATCAGTTTTTATAAAAAAAGTAAAGGCATATGTTCTCAGCCTTGTAGAAACTTGACATGTTTTGGTACATGTGTCTGAACCTCTCTTTAGTGGTTCATTAATAAAACTAATATTTCAACGTGTGCCTACTTTGTTCATGTAGGTTCATTTCAGTAGTTGTGTGCTATAATGTATTTACAAAGTGTGAAGAGGAGGCAACTTTAGAATAGGGAACCTGTTCAGGTCAATTAGAGTCAAACTACTAGCTTATTGGTTATGAACAAGACTTCACTTTAAAATAGGGAACATATTCTTAGATATAAATACCTAATTTTGAGTTATTTAGACACAATTAACACTTATAGTTTCATGTCTTGTTACATAAGAATAGATCATATTTGTTAAGTGTTATTATGGGAGAATTACTATTCTTGTGGGACTACTGCCTTATTAGGCCCATATTGAGCAGAGCATATTAAGACCAAAACTCATGGACATCAACTTCCTTACTTGCAATAAATAAGCACTAATTAGAGGGCTATTGAGGAAAAACTCTCAACTAATGGCTTATTACTTGTAGAATATGGTCATGCAGAATAAGGCATTAATACGTGTTTTATAATGACTAATAAAGAGCCAATATACTGCTAATATGCATGTTAATTAACAACTAGTTGATTACTGTACCTTAATATAAAGTGCTACCTAAATTCAGATTGAACATAGTACAAAAATATAAATTATAGTGTCCGTCCAAAAATAAAACATTACTTATAGTGAAAACCACCCTTGAATGATGGGATAGTAGACTAAAAGCTTTAGGAATCCAAACTATAACATATAATAAGTACCCTGTATCAAGATTGATGCAAAACAAGTGACATTTGACCTTTTTAGAGAGATTTAGCAAAAGCTGTCATACACTCTGGTAGCTCTCATAGCAACTATATATGAAAACTCCGTTATTGACATAAATATGAAGATGGATTATCAGTAATCATTTCAAACACATTGGATTAACCTATGGATTAACCTTCAGCAGCGTTTGTATCGTTTTAATGCCATTGAACACAACTTTTGATCAGAACAACAGTATAGGTAAGACAATGTCCCGTTCTTGCTCCGTAAAGCTCCGTGTTGTGATGTCTGTGTTTGATTCCCCTGTCGCGAGTTCTGATCGCTCAGTGATGCTTATACCCCTAGAATCTGTGGAATCTCAGCTTGCTAATCGATATCTTGTTTGTGCAGATCCGATATGTAATAATATTTATACCTAGAGTTCTGTGCTGGTGTGTTAGCATTGTTTCGCTCAGGGCTCATTTAGACGCCTCATGTGAGACTTGTGTTTTGTTTCGGTAAAAATGGTTCATACCGTCAGTTAGCTGACTTTCTTCCCGTTAAGTGCGTATGACACATTAATAGGTTTTAAATGTTAAGAAGCCCTGAGACACAGTTTCGTGAAAAAAAAACAGTGTGTTCTTTTAACTAACATATTTTGTTTCGCAATATTTTAGATTGAGTTAGATTGAAGACTGTTGATATGGCACTTACGCCCTATTATGATAATTTTCAGGTTCTTACCTTCACTGAAAAAACTGAAACGTTGACTTTAAATAAATGTATTACGTCAGCAGATGTCACATAACAATATTAGGTTAGATGAAAGCAATAATATTAAGTTTCAATACAAAATAATTGAGTTCAACTTAATATTATTGCTTTCAACTAACCTAATACAGTTTTTTGAAATGTGTTGACATTGTTAACATTTAATTTAAGTTAACGTTTCAGAGTCAGGGCTACCCACATTCCTTGAACTTTTCTCTAGGTCTTTCAAACTAAGATGAAGGCTCTCACCTGCTCCCCTTCTTTGACAAAATCTTTTCTGCAGATATGAGCCATGATGCCTGTGGCCAGTGCATCCCCCATCACATTCACCATGGTCCTGAATCGATCCCTTGATAATAAAAAGGATGAAAAGTAATGCACAGTGTCAAAGACGCTTGGGAAAATTTGATATTTTTCATCATCGGTTGAGATGTTTAGGTTATGCAATGTAAAGCATTAACATTTTTAAATACATCAAGTATGGTACTCATGCATAATTTGGTATTTGCATATACAATATAAAAAATACTCATGCTAAGATGCTACAGAGTACAAAGACACTCAAACGTCATAACGACATGCTGAGTCGAAGAGCTTCACATGTTGGAAAGATGAACCCTTACTTACAAAGCCCAATCAACAGCAATGATAAGAGTGATATCATCGGTGGGCAGGCCCACTGAGGTCAGCACGATCACCATGGTTACGAGTCCAGCCTGTGGGATTCCTGCTGCTCCGATACTGGCTGCCGTGGCGGTGATGCTGATGGAGCGGAAAGGAGCATTTATTTTTGTTTGATATTGTAACAATTACTCATCATAGGTGAGAGCTAACCGACGGAAAGTGCGGCAGTTTGCCATCCTGTCAAGCTCTTCATTCTAGCACAACATTTTTAGTTTACGATAAAAAACTGTGGCGAAATATTTAATTCAATTCTTTAAAAATGTTTTATTGTACCTGATTAACACAAATTCAGGCTCCTCATTTGTGGCATATGAATGGGAATGTGCTGGCTACAATTGTTGTATTGCCAGCAAATCTTATCAGATGTTGCTAGCTTTAACACTATTGCTTAATCTCAGAGTTGAATGTGCTCTCCGTCTCCAGCTGACATTTAATATTGACAGCTGACTCAATTTCGAATGATAAACAGGTAAAGTACGTTATTTTATAACGACCAACAAAATAATTAGCTAAAAACACAGACCTTGTGGTCGTGTCTAGATGCTAACCCTACATTTGCAAAACTTGCGAAACATACAAGACTTGCTGACCATTAGATTAATTCCTAACCTTAACATCTTGCAATAGTTTCGAAAACAGAGGGTTAGGATCTAGATGAGTCGGAGTAGAATGTGTTGGATGCTGTGTTTAAATCAAAAACTTTAAATACGTTTTGAAAATGATATTATTGTAATTTTACATTTTCTAATGACATAGAATGTATAAGTCGTAGCATTACATTTTTTAATTAAGTTAAGTATTGAAATAATGTAGGGAGAATGATTGAGGGGATATTTTATCCCACACCCGGACCTTTGATCACAAACTGACAAACTGTCCCTCTGCAGGGCTGGTGGGGGGGTTGTGGGGGTTAAGGGGTTGTGTTGGCATGCAGATGGAGCAGCTCCTTGGTCAGCCGCCAAACGGCACGGGAACAGGGCGCAGAGAGAGGAAAATTATTATAATTCTGCCGTGACAAGGGAGATGAGTAATACAGGTCATATGGGTTTTACCGCCAAGGGATTATGACGGAGTGGGCACAGACTGCAGCCATGAGGAGAGGTCTGCTTAATGTTATTACTGTTGGACATGAAATCAGAGGAAGGACAGGCCATTTTTAGACCTGGGTGGGCTTGATCTCCTGTGGTAAAAAAGTTATAGGGAGTCAGTGGAAAGGGGACTGTTTTTGTCTGTGTGTCTCTCGGTCTGTCTCTCGGTCTGTCTGTGTGTCTGTCTGTCTGTCTGTCTGTCTGTCTGTCTGTCTGTCTGTCTGTCTGTCTGTCTGTCTGTTTGTCTGTGTGGCTGTTTGTCTGTCTGACTGTCTGTGTGGCTGTTTGTCTGTCTGACTGTCTGTCTGACTGTCTGTGTGGCTGTTTGTCTGTCTGACTGTCTGTCTGACTGTCTGTGTCCCCGGGGCTTCCAGACCGATTTAGCAGAAATCAGATCAGACTAAGGAGCTCATATGAGATGTAATCTGTGTGACATTTACATATATGTGTATCTAGTAAATCCCATAATATTTGTTATTAATTTAGAATTAAACTAAATGTGTGACGTTGGATTCATTCAAATGTTGCACTGAAAAAAACATGTATGCCTGCTCTATTTTTTGACTCAGATGCAATTTATAGCTTATATCCTCACACTATCAAAGGTTTTCCTCATTCGTTCAATTTATATTGAGATAAGAATCTGTGCATAAAGAGTATTTGATGTGAATTATTTCATTCTATTTCCAAAAGAAGGCTGAGAAGATTGATACCCTACTCTATTATCTGCACGGTTGATATGAAGTCACAAACAGCAGCTTGCTAGTTTAGCTTAGCATTGAAACTACAAACGGCGAGAAAAGCTAGCCTCGACTCCAGGTTCAAGGTCAGTAACTTAGTTCATTTTTTTCACACAGTTTTTTGAAGTAATCCAACAAAATTAATAAAAATATTGGCATCACAATTTCATCTCCGATATTTGACCGAGGAGCCAGGAGGATTTCATCCGACTGTGCTAATATCCTTCAATATTTTTCCTTCCCTCAACTGCTGACATATCTTACGCTTCATTACATTTCCACCAAAAGCCACCATTTATTTTAGCCAGTCCCAGTCTAAATGTACTTACCTGATCGTGATGATCTGTCCAAAGTCAAGCTCATAGTTATTAACTTGGGCGATGAAGATGGCTGCCACAGCCTCGTAGAGTGCGGTGCCGTCCATATTGATGGTGGCCCCGACAGGCAACACAAAGCGGATGATGCGTCTGTCGATGTGGTTGTTCTCAAGTAGGCACTTGAAGGTGATAGGCAGTGTGGCAGAGCTGAAGAAAAAAAAACTACATTAGTTTAATTACGGTATATTAACATATACATATATGAAGACTCCTTTGAGACAAGCAGAGTTCGATTGAATAATACCACAAAATGCTTTTTACAGGGGCTGTTGCCCTGAAACTCCTGCAGTTTTCTAAAACTGCCACAAATTGGTATTAATACATTTTCCTATGTTTATTCTAAAAAAGTATAGAGACATATAGTTTTGTGTTGATGAGGGGAAAATGCTAGTCTTTGGGTTGATATACAAATACAAGAACATAATGTGTAGATATACCAATATTGAAGATGTCAATGAATATCCACAAAATGGTTGCGCAAGAGCCAACGTGCATACGCATGGATATATTTTATCAAAATGTAAGATTAGCTGTGATTTAAATGAGACTAAGGTTTGTTAGTGAACGACTGAATGCTGCAAAAACAAAATTGTATTTAGAGGTTTCGTTGGTTCTACCTCTTAGTAACTGTTAACTGCAACACATACTGTAAACAACCAGCAAATAGTTGTTTATTGGAACCTTCACTACCACACTGCATGAAACATCACAATATTTCTCATCAGCAGCAGAAGATCAGTGAAGTGTAAACTGTCATCTTGAGGTGGTGTCGGAGGTTAAAAGGGTAAAGGTCACAGTAAAACCCCACAATCATCCAATGATTCAAGGAGAACTCCATTATCCACCCACTCACTGTTCAGGGGGCATCAATGTGTAACTTATGTGTTCCTCGAGAGAACCAATATGAGTCTCAGGTGACCTCACATGATATGCATCTTGCAAAGGGAAATAAACAAATCAAAATGTAGCCGACTTGTGTTTCTTAACCCTATTCTTCCCTTTTATTTGTTTACTTCTTCTTTGAAATAAATGTTGTATTTGTTCTTGCGTTGCAGCTTTAATAGCAATGTAAACAATAAATCATATTTGGGAAATTTCAATTATTACCCTGCGGATGGTTTTACAACACCACAACCATCAGCAATACTGTAAGTGACTGGGAGGACGACAAATACAAATATTCTCATATGTGAATTCATGCAATGTGTTCAGTTATTTTGTATTGTCTCTCGGTAGCTCCCTCATGACGAACTCCAAAAGAACCAAAGAATGTTAGCACACTGGCTGTTCAGAATAAAACATTTAGTGACAATGTTTTATATAATAACTCTCACTGCCAGAACGGTAGACAAAGATATGCAGTGTTGAAAAGTATAAATATTTGTCACTTATTTCACCTGGTGCCTGATAGCTAGTAGCTAGCCAGCTTACGTTAAATGTATAGTTTGTTTCAAAAACTCATGTGTGGACATTTATTTTGCACTCCGACCGTCTGTTCATGAACAGTCAGATCCTCCTTTCAAGTCCAACAATGTTTTCAAATAAGCATTGTTTGGATAAATTGGGAATGTTCATTTTTTCTTTTTCTCCTTGGAAAATTGTTAATTCTTAATGAAAGATATATTTTAAAGCTTAAAAACTTTAGCATAGCAATGCTAAGTGAACTTATTTTACTTGCTCTATAGTTGCAGTATCGCTCTAGTTTAGGAACAAAAAAGGGAATTCTACACAGCATGTTTGGCTCTGAAGAAAAACAGCCTAACAGATTCACATGGCCCCAACCGTTATAAATTAATAAATCCAATGCAATGTTCAATTTGGAAAAATCCAATCTTTTCATTTTACCTGGAGGATGTGGCCAAGGAGATGAGAAGGGCCTGCAAAATTCCTCTTATGTACACAATGGGGCTCTTCTTAGTGATGAAGAAGTACATGGCCGGGAGGATGAAGAGGCCATGTAGCACCAAGCCCATTACCACCGTAATGGCGTAAAAACCCAGCTTCTTTCCCATGGCTGAAGGGTCGTCCATCTCCAAGATCTTACCGGCAACCAGAAAGACGATGCCAAAAGGGAAATACCTGTAAGGGACAGAAGAAAGGTAGAGTATTTGTTGCTGTTCTATTTTTTTCTAAATTAGGTATTTTTTTTCTTCAAGTCTCAGCACTCATGATGCATTTACTGTTCAAAAACACTTCTATACATGTATTCCTGCTAGTGGTTCTTTGAACCAAACGCTAGAATACAATCCAATACGGGGAATAGGACCATCCCAGGAGCACATGAATGCACCATTGGCGTGAGTCCTCAGAGTGCTATTTGATTTATAAAGGTATTGGTCATTTTGTGTAGATTGGATAAATTAAAATGTGGGGGTTACAAAGAATATACCAATTAGCTCTGAGGGGACATAAATGACCAAATCAAATGTCATAAAAAATCATCCCAACATAGGAGCCATGATCATCTGAACACATTTTCTGGAAATTTAGAATTCAGATTTTGACATGCATAACATAAAGTTAGGGGACAACCAAAGTCAAAAAGATCAATTCCCTGGGCACCCTACATCTAATTAAAATGTTATAGCAATCGATCCAATAGTTTAGAAACTTCATTAAAAAACATCATATCAATCTTATAGTGTTACATTAGAATAACTCAGGGATCAACAATATAGTGTGATTCATCCTCTGGGGAACATGAATGCCTTTATTAATGTCATAGTGAACTTACTGACAAAGGCGCTGATATTACCAGCCATAAAGCCAAGCAAAAAACGAGAAATTCCAAATTCTTCTTCAGCTACAATAATGATCAATAGTACTAGTATCAGCAAAACTGCTTAATTGACTTAAAGTGGACCTATCATGCTATATTTGAATAATATAGTGTAGGACCATACCTATATAAGGCATATTTATACTTTTTTTTTTTCAAAATACCAAACAGATCATGCATTTTAGCCATGCCTCATTTCGCTCAATTTGAAAGATGTTAGCTCTGTTTTTGCAAGGGCTGATTCTGTGAGAACAGCACCATCTACAGGCCTGGCATATGTACTACAGCGTCTCCAGCGCTTTCGAACGGCAATGGCCGTGGCTGTCTCCTCCTGATTGGTGGAGTTGGCCCAATAGCCGTAGCGCCACTGTCCTGACGTCAGGACAGTGTTCAAATCTGGATCAGTTTTTATCAGATCCGTTGCAGCCCCTTTTTTAGAGATTTGGGTATGGAGGAAAATAGAGAGGGTTGTGTTTTCTGACACTTGGTGAGTTCCCTGGAACACCGGCGACACATATTCATGTATAAAAGACGTACAAAAGTGCATTTTGCATGATAGGTCCCCTTTAATTTTGGTGTTTCTTACTTCCAAGATATAACTCTTACCAGATGACAATGGCAACGATCTTCAGAACGGCCTCATTCACACTCTGGCAGAAGTTGACCAAAGCGCTTCCGTTGGGTCCCATTCTTCCTAACATAATTCCTGGATAGAAAAAGAGAACCACAACAACATAGATTGCATTCATTGTTTGTTAAATGCATCAATTATAAACCTCCACTGATGCACCCACAGTGTTAATTGATGGAGGTCACCATTTCTTTGTTCTCTGCGTTCCACATGGAATCACATCCCATTATAAACGTAATTATCCAGGAATATAATTGCCAAGATTGCAATTATGTAACTTAACTCTGAAGATGTGTGTGTAGGATATATGCCAACCACTTACCCATGGTAGCTGAAAAAATGACTATCCCAAGCACATTCATGCCTTCACTGGTACCAGGAGATGTTTTCATGATGACATCAGGCGGTGGCGTGAGATCCAGGGAGAAATTCTGTATATCTGTGCCATTGTCGTCCTGGATGCCGTAGATGTAGACCCTGCGTGTGGTGGTCTCATCCAGGAGCTGAGCCACTGTTGGTTTGAAGATGAGCTCAGGAACTCTCTGGGTTCGATACTTGAGACCAAAGACAGAGCCAACATCAGCACAGACATGACACCAACAGAGATGTTCAGGGCAGCGGATCCTCACATAATAATGATCTATACATGGGCTCATTTCAAAGGTGTAGAGATTTGAATTAGAAGATTCACATCATGGGAGTGGATTGCAGTAGACGCGCCGTTATTTAATGTTTTTAGTCAGTTCAATGTTTTTCCGATAAAGATCATTTTTTTCTTCACTTTTATTTTTACTTATTGATTTTTTATTTTTTTTTCTGTGTGTCTTTGCCATTAACATTTGTGCTTACCTGTTGAAAAGTGGCTTGAACCAGGTTCGCTGGAAACATGTTGCTGTGGAAGACAATTTTGAGAAATATTTTAGATGGAATATGAGGCTACATATATAAATACACTTATAATATATCATATATATATATATGTATTTTCAAGGTTAATTGTCATTCAAAGCAATAACATCACATTTAATGGAAGGTCAAAATTCATAATAAAATCTTAAACCAAAAGTAACTACTGTAGTCACCATTGACGCTAACCTTGGAAAAAGATAGGTTGATATCTTGTTCAAAAACATACAGCTCTGGAAAAAACTAAGAGATCACTCCAAATTTTTCTTAAATCTCAATCTCTACATGTAAGGCCCTTCCAGTGTCTGTTGAATTCCAGCAGAGAGAAATGTTGTCAGTAGTTTATAGAATTAAAAAAAAAATGCAAGTTTTACTCAAAAACATACCTAAAACCAGAGAAACTGATAATTTGTCACTGGTCTCTTAATTATTTCCAGAGCTGTATATGATAATGTTGTGTATCCAGAGTCTTTTAAATAATTTCTGTACCCATCTGTAGTGTTTTACTAAAAAATGTTCCCAGTGAAAAGAGGAACTATCACAAATGGTTAGTGTTTTCCCCCATTGATCGTGGCTGATAAGAATCTTCGCAATCTTCATTATTTTCCACACTGAAAGCTGCTCAGACAACTGGTTAGTTATAAACTTTAACAATGACCCCTAATAAGCACACTCTTATTTCATCCGAGCACAATTATATTGAGTGTTCTTCCTGCCAAAGGTAACTGCAGCAGAGATGACTCAGATGCTCCAAGATAAAGAACGGGTGGAAGATGGAGGTACAGGTAGAATAGTGTCATTTTAGGAAATTGGATGCCCAACCACCCCTCATACATGAGTTGAGATGAAGGCTTGTTCTTCAGAGATAACTCATCCACAGAAACGAAAAGGAAAAAATAACAGATTGGGAAATACAGTATTAATACTACTTATCCTTTGAGGAGTATGAATCTTCATGTCAATGGTTGTTGTGTTTTCCTACCATTGTCAGAAGACATGCAATAAAAAATGGACAGAACCCCAGCGGGACATGGTAGTGACCTGTCAATCACAAGCTAGCCATGCCCTAAAGCAGGGGTGGGGAACCTTTTTCCTCTCAAGGGTCATTTCAATTTTTTCAACGTTCCTCTGCAATGTGAAACTGGAAGAAAGGTGTAGAAATATATTTAACATTTCACCGTCTGCATGTTCGCTTAAAGTGACTGTGAGCTCCGGAAAACATTTCACAGCAAACACGCTGAAGCTCTGACTGATAATGAAAACGTTTTGAATGTAGAAACTTGAAAGAAGTGTAAAAAAAAAAGGGCTAAACTTAAAATAAATCGAACGCTTTTTATACATTCAACCATTGAATCAAATGCAAAGAGGGCCGTACAAATGATTGACCTCTGCTTAAAAATACTAAAATCACAGCCCATTCATTTCGCCTTTCTTTCATGCTGTGCAAAGAAAAAGCAACCTCTCAATCCAGATATCTTACCACGACTCACGCATGCATGCACTTGCACGGTTGTGGCATGACCACCAAAACAGAAAGATATGGACACAAGATGTGTGCAAATGTATTTAGTTCCATCCATGTGAACATGATTTAAGTGGGGGGGGACCTAACCTCCTCTAGAGGGGTCCGGACGCATGCTCCCCTGGGAAGATTTTTTTTTAAACGTTGAAGTTAAAAGCATCAATCTGGTGGACTTTGAGAGCAACATTAGGAGATCTATGGATACATCTCTCAACACCCATATGAAACAGAACTGTAAGCAGATTTTATTTTTCTTTATGGATATTTTACAAATCACTCTCCTTTCAAACTGTATTCTTGTTTATTAATAACAACTTTTTTTTACTGTCATATAGTATTTTATACCTGTTTTTTTATAACTATAATGATCATATAAAGATGTGCCTTTACCTCACTGGTTGGAGAAAAAGCTTCTTATATTCGTTAGCATAGCTAGCTAACCAGATGCTAATAACAACAAAGTTATTGACTGTATGATCAGTATGACAGATGAACAGATCGCCACTGGGCTTTCAACTAAGACACAGCCACGCAGAAACTGCGGCATGTGTAAGGCTCCTTATGGGTACTGCAATTTTTGGAAGTGGTGGAGCGGCGTTCTGGTGCTCTCCGTCAGAACTGCACCCCTTTCAGACGAGACATACACCACGTGATGACACGTTAGGCTCGTGTTGTGTTCATGGACCCTGACCTTGGCCAGGAAAAACAGGCACTCGCTTGTTTAATTTTTTTGCAGTCTAGATTTCTTAATTTTTTATCTTTTTTGCGTGTGTTTATAAATTACCTCGAGGGCCGTACCAAATGGTCTCGCGGGCCGTATACGGCCCGGGGGCCGGAGGTTCCCCACCCCTGCCCTAAAGCATACGCTGTGTTGTGTCTCGTCAAATGTGTTAGTTATGTTTATGTATGGTCATTTCCTGTTTTATTTTGTACTTACCTCTTGTCTTTCATTTCAAGCCCTGTTTCTTCCTCCCCTTGTGTGTTTTCCCGCCATCATCAGTGTCTGCCCCGCCCCTGATTGTTTCCACCTGTTCCCACTCACCTCATGTTTAAATAGTCCTGTCTCTCCCTGTCCTGTGTCAGTTCGTCTTGTTTGTTTCCACGAATGGGCGTGCCAAGCCTCAGCTCAGAAAGGATCGCTTTCTCTCATGTCAGGTTTTGTTGTTTTGTTAATTTTGTAGGCTTAAGTTTCTTTCTTAAGTTCTCTTTTTGTTATGCATAGTTTTTCCTCCTTGTGAGCGCTTTTTGTTAATTCCATTACCTACTCTGTTAAAAGGAATTTCCTGATCTTTGAAATTAAAGATACTTTTTTTACATTTAAGACTTTGTCTCTGGGTCTTGCATTTGGGTCCATCAGTTTGTGTGGAGGTCCTGACACGCTGCTTTATCTTCTATTTTACTCTAAACACAAATCAAAATCATACATTACATTACATTTTTACATTACATTGCATTTAGCTGACGCTTTTATCCAAAGCGACTTACAATAAGTGCATTCGACCAAGAAGATACAAACTTGAAGAAAACAGAATCATATAACGGGGCATTTCCACCATGGCGCGGAGCGCGGTTTAAGCTTGCCGTGTCGTGCCGGGCCTGTTTTTGGTTGTGCTTCCACTAGGCCTAGTTCCGGCCCGGGGGTACCTTTTCACCTCTTTTCTGGCCCGACAAAATCGTGGTTCTATCGGGGCCAACAAACAGGGCTGAGTTTGCTAAACCAGAGAGAGAATCGCTGGCAAGGGGGCTACAACTACAACAAGATGAACATATTTGACCGTGATTTAATTGTAATACACGTTTCAAAATGATGCCGAAGTAACAACATACTTATACCGGTTAGTAAAAACCATGAACCTTTGACAAGTCTGCAGACAGACGGCAGGCGAAAAACCTTTTAAAATGCGTGTTTTCTAGATGGAGATTGGCTAAGCTAACGCAATATATGCTCCGACCGTCCACACTCACAACAACGGCCTATACAGACATAAATAAACCAGCGACTGTATTCGCCATGACACAGACAGTCTGTGGTTTGTAGTTGTTTAACTTTTGTCTAGTTTCTGAACAGATATGAGGAGCTGTGAGCTTGACTGCTAACAGCTAACGGCTGTGTTGTTTTTCTGGGGTTCTCATTGAAGATTACGTCACGGCTCCGCCTACACTGCGTTACTATAGTAACTACCCCAGTTCCTAAACTGTAATGGAAGCGCAGCATGAAGTGAGCCGGCCCTAACAAGGCCCAACGCGGCCTAGCAGTACCGAGCGAGGCCGAGGCCGACCGTGTGGTGGAAATGCGCCATTAGTACATCAGGTTTCATAGAGCCAAACCATTTTAAGTGCTACTCAACTGGCTTTAGATAAGCCAGTCCTTTGTTAGTATACAAGTGCTTTGTTAGTAATTTTATTGCTCGAAGTGGAGTCGAAAGAGATGAGTTTTTAGACTGCGCCGGAAGATGTGTAAGCTTTCTGCTGTCCTGATGTCAATAGTCGCGTTCACACCAAGTACTTTCCTGTACTTAGTTCCGGCACATATGCCGCGTTTCCACTACACGGCCTCGCTCGGCCCCGCTCGGTATGGCTGGGCCTCGTTAGGACTGGCTCACTTTATGGCGCATTTCCATTACAGTTTAGGAACTGGGGCAGTATCTATAGTAACGCAGTGTAGGCGGAGCCGTGACGTGATCTTCAGAGGACCCCAGAAAAACAACACAGCCGTTAGCTGTTAGCACTCAGAGCTCACAGCTCCTCATATATGTTCAGAAACTAGACAAAAGTTAAACAAGTACACACCACAGACTGCCTGTGTCATGGTGAATACAGTCGCTGCTTTATTTATGTCTGTATAGGCCGTTGTTGTGAGTGTGGACGGTCGGGGCATATACTGCGTTAGCTTAGCCAATCTCCATTTAGAAAACAAGCATTTTAAAAGGTTTTTCCCCTGCCGTCTGTCTGCAGACTTGACAAAGCATTAATTCATGGTTTTTACTAACCGGTATCAGTATGTTGTTACTTAGGCATCATTTTGAAACGTGTATTACAATTAAATCACGGTCAAATATGTCCATCTTGTTGTAGTTGTTGCCCCCTTGCCAGCGACGCTCTCTCTAGTTTAGCATACTCAGCCCGACTCAGCCTCGTTGTCTCTGGCCCTGGCCCCACGATTTTATGAGGCCAGAAAAACTGTGAATTAGGACCCGCCGGCCGGTACTAGGCCAAGTGGAAACGCAACCAAAGACGGGCCGCTGACGTCACAGCCCTCTTAAACCGGGCTGCGGGCTGTAGTGGAAACGCGCCATAAGAGCCCCGGCGCTTTTAACCCCAGGGCACTTAGTACAGATCGCGTTCACACCGGAGTACTTTTCCCTGAGGGAAGATTACGCAAATGAGCCGCTGACGTCACTTCTTCTTCTGCTTTGGCTTTACTGGCAGGCCACAAACCACTTCACGGCGAGTACAGTAGGTGG